AAACTCGTGCTTCAGCTTCCCCTAGCGAGCAGACAAGCCAATGTTTAGCAGTTAGAATGCGACCTAAACTCTCATTCGCTTTATACACAAACCAGTAAACCATATAAAATTGTTTAGTCCCTTCTTTCGCGTATATGAAATAGTGCTTCAGTCTTCCCTAGCGAGCAGACAAGCCGATGTCTAGTAGTTAGAATGCGACCTAAACTATCGTTCGTTAAAATACACATACCAACTAACCTGTGTCCGAACTACAGACGCTCTGATTTCTCATTTATCAATGAGAATACGTAGGCATAGGATTGCGAGATCCTAGCGAGCATAATTCCCTCCATCTTCTATTTACCCTAAATCTTTACTCGTGGTCCCACAAACTACGATGCTCTGACTTTCCCATTGCACAAGGGATTATATAGGCACAAGAGCCCCAATCCTTGGCGAGCACCCTAGTATAAAAACCACCTATTTCCCCCTACAAACGAATCTTTAGAAGAAAACAAACAACCTAGCTAACTTTTCTCTCGAATCAGATCAAGAGGTTCTCGTTGAGTACAACGGACGTAGAGGGTTCTAATACCTCCCCTTTGCGTAAGCGACTCCTGAACCTAGAATTTGGTTGCGATGACCATGTTCTTATCTCTTTGAAGGTTTTATCTATATTTTCCTATTCCTCCATTGGAATGAATAAAGTTCGGTGGTGACTCTGTTCGAACGTTTTTTCCGCATCCATCACGAGGGTCATATTTTTCGAGGTACGACACAATGCAAGATGCAAGATCTAAGATCACAAGACCACAAGTTCAAATAGTTCTGAGGTTGGCTAAAGGAACGAGTCAAGAATGGAAGTCACTGATCAAAGAAACCCCATTGGTAGGTTCTAAGACGTGTAGGTGCCTAGATTCATGGATATCTTTCAAAGACATTATAGCCATGGCAAAGGCTCACCATAACAATAATATTCTCGAAAGGATCTCCTCTAGGTGAGGTTTTCATATCTTCCCAATGAGAAAGACTCCTCGGAGGCGCTAACTACATAACCATCGACACTCAGGTTCTAAGACAGGTTCTCAGAGTCATAGATCGAGGTGGAAAATATTATTGTCAGGAAGTAATACGTTCAAGGGATCTCATCTGATTGGGGTGTTCGTATTAACCCAAAAGAGGTTAACACTACCAACCACCATGAATAAAACGGGTTAATGGTCCTTAGGATCAACAATTCAGGCTCGAAAACATTATTACCATGGCAAAGACTCACCACAACAATAACATCTCTAAGGGAATCTACTCCAAGTGAGGTTTTCGCTTCGGCCTCACGCAGAAGATACCACGCAAGTCTCCAATACAAAACCACCATCATAATCCTAGGGTTTTACTCTGACTCGGGTATAGAGTCATCTCACAAAGTACCCATAAGCAGAGCAGCCCAACAATGTCACAAAAGGTAACACAGATAAGGAATAGGAAAGCAAATAAATAAGCGAGAAGAAAACAAATAAGTGAAGCTAATGACCTCACAATTCGAACTAAGGTAGGCTCGAATTTGTCTTGCATGGAAAAATGTAGTCCCCAGCAGAGTCGCCAACTGTCGCGCCTCAAAAAATTAAAATACGACCCTCACGCAAAAGGCACGAAATGCGTATCGACAGAGTCGCCACCGAACTTTATTTATCCTAAAAAGAGGGAAAGGAAAATACCGAGAAAACCTTTAAAGAGAGATAAGAAACCTTTTTTATCCCCACCCAAGAACAACCTTTTTTATTTTTGGTTTATGGCGAAAAACCTATGATATCGATTCATGTTAATGTGATGAATTGAATCGATATCATCTGGGACGGGAGGATTCGAACCTCCGAATAACGGGACCAAAACCCGCTGCCTTACCACTTGGCCACGCCCCATTTGTTATTCTATATAGATATTTACTTTTGTCAAGTTAGACCATATTTCTTTTTTCTTTTAGATTTCATTTTTAATATAAAAGTATAAAAAAAAAGTGGATATTAAATAATATATATAATAAATCATATCTTATATATATAAGAATATATATAATAATAAGTAAGATAATAAAAAATAAAAATGGTCATCGCAACCACATTCTGGGTTCAGGAGTCGGTTACGCAAGGGAAAGTTATTAGCACCCCTCACATCCGCCGTACTCAACAGGAACCTCTTAATTCGAATTGTGATGAACGTTAGCTAAGCTTATTTGTTTTCTTCTCAATGATAAATGAAAAATGGTAAGATGAAAGGGAACAATGCTAAGGAATGGGGCCCTTGTGCCTACGTATGCTCATTCTACGAGAATGAGGAATTAAAGCGCTCGTAGTTCGACTACGGGAAAGGTTAGAAGGTGAAAATGGAAGATGGATAGAAGGTAGCTCGGCAAGATCATCGCAATCTTGTGCCTACGTATCTTACATTCAAATGAATTAAAAAACAGAGCGTCTGTGGTTCGTGGAGACGACCACAAAAATAAGGGAGGTTAATGTTTGTTAAAGATGGTCATGATGACGATTACTCGTTGCTTAAGAAAGGCTTCGGGCCCAAGTAATCGGGAGAATGAGTCAAAGACTTTACTCTCTCTCTTTTTCATCTTGAAAAGATGATGTGTTTGAAAAGGGTTTTGAATAACAAATGGTTGGAAGATAGTTGAATATTTTCGAGTTAGAAGTGTTTTAGAGGCATCAATTGCTCACACACGAGTAAGATAACTCGCACCTAAACAGCTGAAGAGAGATCAAGGGCTCAATCCCCCTCTTTTTCACCTTGAAAAGAGTTCTGATAATTGTTAAATATTTTGAAGTTTAATTGAGAAAATCCGCTTGACGTTGGATTAAGGGTTTGATTGTATTTGTGTGTGAAGGGTTGATTGCGAGGTAAAAGGCACTCGTCATAAAAGTTGATTGAAAAATGGCTCGATGATGAATAAAGGGTTCGGTTGAAAAGGTGTGAGTCGATCCTAGTCTCTAGGGGTGCTCCTAGTAATAAAACCATGATGAAATGTGAGAGTGTGTTAGTTAGGTTGATGGTGAATGCTAAATAGCAATCGACTCTTGAAGGTGTTTAAAAATGGCTTGATGACAAATCAAGAGTTAGTTTGAAAACGGTTTAGTCGATGCTAGTCCTTAGGGGTTCTCCTAGTAAATAAACCACAATCAAACCAATACGAATGCGTACATCAAATGGGAGTGGGGTACATGTAAGTTACACAAGATTGCACAAAATAAATGGTCTCATTGTAAGGTAGCCCAAGAGGAAGCCGTGTGTGCGAGGTGTCCTAAACTAAGCCACGAACAAGAGTCATACAAAAGCTCCAAGCTAAGGTTTCTATACAGAGTCCAAGTTCCATTGCTCAAAATATTAACCACAGTCTACCAATTTAGGCTTTTAGAGTTTTGATTGTTATTAGTGTGTTTTCGAATGGTATGAACAAAGTATAAATAGTATGAATAAGACATGATGAATATGATATGAAAAATATGAATAATATGACAAGATAAATATCAACAATAATATAATCAAGATAATATCCATAGCAGTATCTGAACAATAATATAATCGAGATATATTGACAAGAAAGTAAATCAAGAATATATTGACAAAAATTAAAGTTAATGATTAATTGTTATTGAATGAATCGGGTCGACTTTAATGATAAACCATATTAACACGATCTATGACGAAAATCATACTATAGGAGGTCGCGTGAACTATAATATTTGTGCTAAAATAAGATGGATAAATGATATTGAGAATCATTCTCCAAAGAAATCGTTCCACACGAAAAGAAAAGGTGACAGTCTCGTCTAAATCTCAAACTTGTGTTAATTAATCGAAGATAACCTATCGTGATCCTGAAGTATAGGAAATGATCTCAATGATCATTCACTACAGATTTGAAATAATGAAGGTTAAACAACCCCAATAATCATCATTTACGATATTAAAGACTTCATCGATCGAAAATGAAATTGAAAAAACAAAATGAAAATAAATAATGAGATGAAACAATAAGATAGATGGATCAATATGAAATATGAATAAAATATGAAAAATAAAAAATAATGGAAAACCAAAGATCAAAAAGATTTTCTAAAAAAAATAAAATACCCAAAATAATAAAATATAAAAAAAGGAAATTTTTCTTTTCTTTTAAAACTACAAGTAACAAAGGGGGGAGGGGTAGAAGTTTGTGTGTCAGTGTGTCAATATGGAATCATCATAGGCTGAGCCCAAATCAACCATGAAAAGATGAATAATATATTAAAAAAACAAGGAAGCTTTACCCCATACCCCTACACTTGTACCCACACCCCTACATTAAAAAATATTGGACCAAAATACCCTTGTTTAAATATCTATAATTTTGAAAATTTTTCATTTTTCCTTCATTCCCAAACAAAAGACATCCGGAAGCTCTCTTTCTTTTAACAAACCGGAAGACTTCAACCAAGACATCCGGAAGTCATTTTTTAACAAATACGTACCGGAACACTACAAGTAAGTCATCCGGTTTGTAACTTTTTTTTCATCTTCACCGGAAGACTTAAAGAATGTCTTCCGGTTTGTAAATTTATTGATTTTGTCTTCCGGAACTCTTTGCTAAAGACTTCCGGTACACGCGATGAATCATTTCTTCACCGGAACTCTTAGTAAAAGACATCCGGTACATATAACAACTATTTGTCTCACCGGAACACAATCATGAAGAGTTCCGGTGTGTTTTTTTTTTTAATTTTTTTTTTAATTTTTTTTTTACGTATTTTTTTTTTTTTTACTTATTTAAGTTTTTTTTTTACTTATTTAAGTTTTTTTTCTACTTATTTAATTTTTTTCTACTTATTTAATTTTTTTTCTACTTATTTATTTATTTATTTTTTTTCTACTTATTTATTTATTTATGTTTTAATTTTTAATTATTATTTTTTTCAGTGGTGCGCACACGAGGCAGAGATGGTAGGATCCCTCATGGAGTAGGACGGGGTGAGTCATCGAGAATGGCGGAAGAAGAGCATTTTGATGCATCTGCATCTGCATCAGCATCCGCATCCGAGCCGGTTGGATATCCAGGAGGGCCGTCTGATACATCTCTATTAGTTAAATACGAACAGCATATTGCAAACCGTATATGGTTCGGTCAGGTAAGAAAACGAAAATTATTTAATATTCAATAGAATTCAAATTTTTAATTGTTTTAATTGTTTTCAGGAGAGAGGGTCGAAAAAAGAGTTAAAGGTAGCGGGGCATGGATTGAAGTTGATGCAGAGGGTTCCACTACAGCTACCCAGAGAGATGGAGGGCTGGATATCTAGGTCTGGTCTAGCTTCACTTCAGAGAACTAGTTTAACAAAGATAGACACAAACCTAGTTTCAGCATTTGTAGAGAGATGGCATCTAGAGACATCTTCATTTCACATGCCGTTTGGTGAGATGACGATTACTCTAGATGACGTTTCTTGTCTGCTTCACTTGCCCATCAGGGGAGTCTTCTGGAGTCCTCAAGATATTAGTGAAGCACTTGCTGTTGAGTGGGCTGTTTAGTGAAGCACTTGCTGTTTAGTGAAGCATCTTCATGTTTTGAAATTAAAAATGAGTAACATAAGTCATTATTCATGTTTTGAAATTATAAACGAGTAACATAAGTCATTATTCATGTTTTGAAATTAAAAACGAGTAACATAATTTATAATGTATAATGCGCTGGTAATATAGGCGTAAGTTGTTGCCAATGTTGTAGACGTCCTGCAAATCCTAGCATCCAAGATGTTGCTGCTGGAGAACGAAACTTCTTCCAATCTATTGTCACTGGTGGCAATGGAAACCCTTCTTTCATGTTTACCTAAATAAAAAAATAATCAAAATAGTAAGTAAAAATAACGAAAAAAACTTAAGATTAATCGCATTATCTAAAAACAACTAAGTACCTGAACCCAATGATTTCTGTTTACAAAACCAATGCAGTAAATTGCTACATTCGGTGAAAATGAAGTTGTCATAGGGAAGAAAGTCCAGCATTCAATTCCTAAACAGACAAGTACAACATTATAACGATTCGTTATCACGTAACCCATATCTGGTAGAGTTAACCATTTATGTGGTGGTTGAGGACCGACTTCGTCTATCATTAAAGATTCTCTCACCACTGCTAACTGATCAGTGAATAAATTGGCATACAAACTTGATCTTTCATTATGTATTATTTCCAAACCCAAGTCTCGACGAACCATTGCCCAACCATCTTCACCAAATCCATGCAATGAAGCAATGACTCTAAAACCACAATTACCATCTGATACAACATTAACTACATCATCAATATAGGATCGAATGTGATTAGGAAACTGAAGGATGAACTGCTTAGATGACTGTGATAATTTGATCTTCTTCGAAGCTTGTGATGGTTGAGATTTCTTTTGTGAAGACTGTGATAATTTAGTCTTCTTCGAAGTTTGTGATGGTTGAGATTGAGATGCTTGATCAACATATTCGTGATACGAAGGGTCTCTATAAACATCATATCCTACTGGTTTTTTGTCTTTTCTCTTGACTCCCCCTTTAGTTTTTATTTTCTCAGGTGGTGGACACATAGAAGTCATTGTTGGGAAGGCAAGTTCAAAAACCCTACTTTTTAATGCCCTTTTTCCAACAACATCCAGTGACTTAAACCTTTTCCATAACTCATCTATTGCACTACTCATATCCACCTCTGATCCATCGTCTACGTCTTCGTCCAAATTAACTTCCATACTTAGTTTTCTCCAATGAACATGTACAACCTCTATTGGTATCGGTATACCATCAATTCTATATCCTGTCAACTCACAAGCACAAGGTAATCCGTAGGTTGTTCTAAGAGTACAACGACACTTTTCCTTGTTAGTTCCAACATAATCAACTCGTTTTAACTCTTCAGCAATGCGTCTCAATGCATCTCGAGACACTGAACCACGTAAATTATTGTAAAATGGACTTACATGAGCGTGCTCAACTTCATAAAAACTCTTTTGAAAAGAAGCTCTAATATTACCCAATTGTAACTTTAAGTTATCATTCATAGCCTCCCAACATTTGACCATGTCACCAATACTGTTCCCCAACATTTGCTTTAACTTCCAATGAGCAGACTCGACCCTAAAATTAATACATATCAAATATATTATAAAAAAATTAAAAAAAAAATACAATTTAGAAATACTAAAAACAAATACATACCGATTAGTCGTGGTGTTACCAAAATGTAGCAATCGATTAATCCATGCTTCAACAAATCTTTGTCTATGTGGTGTTAACCATGTGTCCTTCACATAATCAATAAATTCATTACAATCAACGCACGCCTGCTCAAGTTGTTTCAACGTTTGATCATACTCAACCTCATCACTAGCCCATACAACCTCCGTCCATAATTCGTCAATTTTCTTTTGCATGTCACTAGCCACATATTGTTTCCGTTTTGCACCAACATTCTTGTTAATATGATATCGACATAGCATATTGATCGACCTTGGAAACACAATTTCAATGGCTTTCATCAAAGCAAGATCTCTATCTGTCAAAATCACTTGTGGACACAACTCTTTTTTCACAAACAATTGTTTAAGCTTATCTAGCACCCAACAAAAATTCTCAGTTTGCTCAGACTCAATATAGGCAAATGCGACAGCAAAAGTCAACTCGGTTGATGTCATTCCAACAATTTCAAATAGAGGTTGCCTATATTTGTTTGTCTTGTAAGTGCTGTCCATAACTAGCACAGTAGGAAAAATATTCAACAACTTAACTGAATCTGGATGAGCCCAAAAGATATCTCTAATAACTTCAGAGTCATCTCTTTTTCTACTCCAATAAACATAACCTGCTTCCTCAATAAGCTTAAACAAATGTTGTATCTCACTTCTAGAACCTCTTATATTTTTTACTATCGTACTCTTCTGTTTGTATATTTGCGTGATCCGAGTGACATTATCTGGATCTTGCTCTTGCAATGAAAGCAGTATATGTCTAGGTGGAACCTTTCTCTTTGTCAAATCAATAACATGTTGCTTCTGATCCGCTGTCAACCTACCGACAAATGCGTGACCTTCTAATCTATCAGGTAAATCATGGTTATGAACTCCACATTTTACATCAATTTTCCATCCAGATCCATCAGCCGCTGGAATTGATCTGATTCTAAATGGACATTCACATTTTTTCGTCGCACTCAGAGTTCCACTAACAATATCTCTGTGTTTTCCTCCTTTATCACATCCAAATATTAATTTGTTACTTCTTCCTCTCTTACCTGTTTTAATATCTGAACGAGTGATGATAACCGTAACTTTATTTCGGATTCCGATCTCTTTAATCCATCTTATCACCTCTTCTCGTGTATTAAATTTTTGAGTAGTTGAAAAAACATCAGACGTATCTACCCATATTTGATCTTTATCGCATATTTGTAAAGGAACTTCTGAAATTACATACATACGTAAAAAAAAATAATTTAAAAAAAAATTCAAAAAAAAAAAAAAATGCCAATACAAACCGGAACACTTATAGAAAGAGTTCCGGTAGCCAAACGATTCACAAAACGAACCGGAAGACTTGTTACAAGAGTTCCGGAAGTCAAATTTTCAAACCGGAAGACTTGTTCCAAGTGTTCCGGTAGTCAAAATTTCAAACCGGAAGACTTGTTCCAAGTGTTCCGGTGATCACACGAAAATTCCAATACCGGATGTCTTTTTTAAAGTGTTCCGGTATGAAAAAATATACATACCCATTTGCGATTCTCAGAGTGTTCCGGTTGATTGGGAGTCTAAAAAAAAATGAAAATAAAAATAATAAAATATTAAAATATATGAGGATAAAATGGGTATTTTTTTAAAAATGTAGGGGTGTGGGTACAAGTGTAGGGGTACAGGGTAAAGCTTCCAAAAAACAATGAAGGGTGGGTATTAAAGAAGACGGGCCGTAAAGCCCAATCCATACAAGCCATGGATTATTCTTCCAAAATCCACCAAACAGGCAAGGTGAGGCACGATTAAATCAAGGGAAGGTCATGGAAGCTTCTCAACCTTTTTTTATTTTAAAATAAAATGAAGAAACATCATAGTCAAAGTTGTGAAACCCACAAAACCAGATGCTCACAATAGCTCATCCTCATCACCAGGTTTCAGAATGAAGAAGAAAACATGATTTAATCGAAGCAATAAAAATATCTTGCTCAGAAGAATTTCTCCTTCATCATCGCTACCATCAACGCGTTAGGAGAAGAAAAGCAAAATGGAAACAGCGCCAACCGACAATGGTATTCAACCTTCGATTTCATCCTGTCTTTGCTTAAATTCAGGTTCTCTTTTATTCTCCTTTCTGCTTTGTTCTGGGTGTTGTAAATCACTCTTTCTTCATCCATTCGTTTCTGAACACGATTTGATTTTGTGGATTGAAATAGGTGAAGATTAGTGTTGAGTTATTGTTATTGGATAGATAGGATTATGAAGGTGGGTTGAAAGGAATTTTAGCAGAGTAAAAGTGGTTGTATGGAACTTGGAAAGTGGAGGTGAGGATGATTTAGAGGGGAAGTGAGGGTAAAATGGGAAGAGTTGAGAGGAAAGGATGAGCTGGAAGTTGGTGACATTTTGTGAGTTTGTTTTTGTGTCGCTATTGTCCGGGTTGTGTGAGGAAATTGGTGGCTAGCTAGAAAAAAAGCATGCGTAATGGTTTTGAGTGGTTTCTGTCATGTTGTATTTTGGAAAAGGTCCTTGAAAGAGGTCTTGAAGGAAACTGTTGCGAGATAGGCGCGTCTTGTGTAGCAGGCTTGGTAAAATGTTTTTTTTTGTGAGTGGCTTGGATATTGCTTTCAGTGGGATCTTGGTATACAGGGTGGATGTAATCATAGTTCAGGTTATGGCTTAGTATACATGGAATAAGGCGGTGCGTATGTGTATGTGTTGTGGCTTATGGTATAGGCTTGTTTTTGTATGCTAGCAATTGATGTATATGTTTTTTTTTCAATTCTCTTGTTGCAAACGACATGGTGAAGCCTTGGGGGTGGGCTCATGTTTTTAGTGAAATTGCTTTGCTAGTTATGATACTGGCAGGTTGCTTTTTGCATGTAATTGTTGTTTGTGATTATGGCTTGATGAAGTCACGTTTGGCATAGTGGTGCTGAAGACTCATGGTTTGTATGTGTAAGGTTGGTGCGCATTATATTTCAAGAAGGTTGTTGATGGTCTAGGTATTGCGTGATGTTGGGTTATTGTTGTGTGTAGAGCTACAAGTTGTTGCTTTTTAGTTTTGTTATGCAGATTGTGGCATAAAGCTTCTTGTGGCAATTATTGTGGTTGAGTTATTCATGATCTTTTTTTGTGTAAATTTTTTTTGTACCACTGGTGTAAAGAAATGTATTGGGATTGAACTCTTTTTGTTGCAAACTTGTTTTTTTTTTCAAGTAATGGGCTTTTGAATTTTTGAATTGGAATTGACACCTCCCATTTTTACTTGAACCATGCTTGAGAACTTGATTTAAATTTTCCATATGAGCGACACTTGAAACCAAT